AATATATATATATATATATATATATATATATATATATAAAAGAGAAAATCCTAAGCCCGCCTACGTGACTCCAATAAGAATTTTTTTTTAATTTATTTATTTTCAAAACTAGCATTTCCCTTTCATGAGAAGTTGTGACTTTTATGAAGAGTCGCGACTTTTACGAGAAGTAGTCACCTTCTCAGAGCGTCGTGACTTTTTCAAAGAGTTGTGACTTTTATGATATGTTGTGACTTATATGAAAAGTTGTGATTTTTACAAAAGGTTGTGATGTTTACGAAAGGTTGTGACCTTTCCGAAGCGTCGTGACTTTTCCAAAGTTTTGTGACCTTTCCAATAAGGGACAATAAGCATTCGTTCACACTATCCTTTATTATATATAAATAGAGGAAATTTCTCTTATTTTAAAACAGCGAAAACTCTGAACTTCTTCTACACAATTAAATATTTGTGTACTTTGCTCATGTTTAGTGGCTTACTGACACCATTATTTTTGTATCAATACGTTGGTGAATAAAATCGTTCTATACTAAGAGGATCTAATTCTTTAAACCTCAGGTATTAGAGTAGAATAGTTTTCTTAAGGGGACATTATATATTCAGTAGCCTCGATTTTTTCCTTTCTATTTCATTCTATTTTGGGATAATACACAAGTACCCCCTCAACCTATGCCCGAAATCTCAGAGACACACTTATATTATACTAAGATCCTATTACCTCCTAAATTAATTTTATTAATAATTTTCTCTCTTTTTCGACCTACGTGGCACTATCTTGTGGGACCAATGCTGGTTGACTTTTTTTTCAAGCTAGTGTCACATAGGCCGAAAAGGGGTAGAAAATTACTTATAAAATAAGTTCAGGGGGATAATAGGACCTTAGTATAGTATAACTGTGTCTCTGAGATTTCGGACATAGGTTGAGGGGAGTGCATTTTCCATTCTATTTTTACATATTCTGGTATGTTCTTTCATAGTCATTAATTCATTCTTATGATATTAATATGTTGTTTTTGAGTACATGTTTTAAACTCAATTATTTATGTTATTGCAAAATTATTGTCGCCGGTTATATTGAAGGTATATTTATTGTGTAAGAAATAATTATTGTACTCAGTTCGAAGAATTCATGTTTTGATATTTTGTATAAAATTCTACAAATTAAAAGTACTATGTATAAACTACATATTATCTATTTTTACATAGATATTAAGTTTTTCACTTATGCTTTCATGTTCAAGCATAATTACTTTTTTTGAATTTGTTAACAATTTTTTGAACTTTTTTGTGAGACATGTATCACAATTATATAATCTATGCAACTTAAAAGTGTTCTTTTTTTTAGGAAATACCTTTGTGTGTGTGTGTGTATATATATATATATATTCTTATTTTCTTCTTTATTTTTCTTTTAATGTTGATTAAAGAACCAAATATATATATATATTCTTATTTTCTTCTTTATTTTTCTTTTAATGTTGATTAAAGAACCAATGATTTATTGTTTCCTGAATCATTCATTCATTAAAGGTTCTTGAGTTATGTGATAATGTCAAATAATCAAATTCATGTCGTAATATTGTTAATATTTTTTTAAAAAACCTATTTTTCCATTATTTTTAATATATTGATATTAGTAGAGAAATATTTGGAAGTTCAATGCAATTATTTAAACATATTTTACTTGATCATCGTGTAGATAACTTTAATTTTTTTTTCTTTTATGTCAAACAGGTTTTATTTGTGTGCTTTTTATTAAGCACCATTACCTATGGATCAATGGCAACTATGGGGTACTTAATGTATGGACAAAATTTAATGTCACAAATAACATTAAATCTCCCTACGGGGAAAATTAGTTCGAAAATCGCAATACATACGACAATCTTTAATCCAATAACAAAGTATGCTCTTGTCGTCTCTCCAATTGCAACGGCTATTGAAGATAAATTACCTTTACGAAAGAGTAAACATATCGTGAGCTACTTCATCAGGACATTTTTAGTCATCAGCACGGTTATTGTAGCATTAACCGTTCCATTTTTTGAATATGTCATGACATTTACGGGCGCACTTTTGGGCGTTACCGTGTCGATATTGTTACCATGCCTATGCTACCTCAAGATCAGGAAGCCTTCATATTTGGAAGTTGTGTTTATTGGGATGATTTTGGTTTTTGGTTCTTTAGTTGCTATATCTGGAACTTACACTTCTTTGAAAAACATTATTAGTCATGTGTAGGGTGACGAAATAACATTTGAACATAATTTGGATGGATCAGAATGGATTGAATCAATGGGTCGTCGCTCAATCCTGTCCTAAGTTTATTTGGACTATAATATAATGAGCTGACTCAAGATGGGCTACATAATAGTTGGCAGCCCAAATCGCTCAACTTAACCCCTCTTTTTTTTTTTTGATATATCAATAAATATTATAAATCAAATATTCCCAAACCAATCAAATATTGTGTGCTTAAATTCAATTAGCTGATCAATTTGTGTAACTTCTATTTTCTGCCAAGCAAGTTAAATTCAAAGCCTAGTGACTTCACTGTTATTGACAATCAATAATTTTGTGACTTTACTATCAAGGAACATACGAAAGAAAGGAAGCATTACAAAACATTCAAGAAAAAGAAACCATAACAACAACAAAATAACATTATAAACCTATATATGTAAAATAAAAACTACAGTACATACTAGTCCTCAATCACTAATCATAAGTTGTAATTGAACTTTGTCATGAATCATGATGATACTAATTGATATTCATGTCTAGTTATGTTTCCTTTTCATTCATTCATTCCCAAGTTGTCACATTCTACATACTTTTACAAACAACAAAAGTATTTCAACTTCGAGAATGTACATCTAGAAACCTCAAGTCGTCATCATTGTGGCTCGTGAACACCCGACACTAACATGAACATATTGTACTGACGGTGTGTGGATGATCGTTGGGGTGTTCAACTGACACAATAGAGACGAGTTAAGGTTTCTAGATGTACATCCTAATAGTTTGAGTGTTTAGTTATCAGATGAAGAGGTGTCTACTTATGCATTATGTGCGCCAATTTCAAGTCGCACACTTGAAAAGAATCTAATAATACATCAGATCTCATGGTAACGAAAAGCAAGCAGTACACATACAATATCTCATCTGTTATAATAAAGAACACAAGTACTGACAAACAGCTATTAACCACATGAATATAATGTTCTAAAAGAAAATTTTAATGTAGGAAAGAAGAATACGTCAAGCTCATCTTCTCCGGTCATTTCTTCAACATATTCCTTAATATTGAAGATCAACTCTTTAAGCTGCTGAGGGTTGAACAATACTTTGATAAGCCCTAATGACGCAATATCTCCTAAACTGTCTAGGATGATCACATCTACTTATATCTAGTTTCTCGAGCACGAAAAAATGATTTCTCTACATCAACCTGCTATTCAGAAAATTCCACCCTAACTAATGTTAGAGATTTGAGATTGACATCTTCCATGTTCCATTCTTTCCCCTCATCGATGATTACGTCTTCTAGAATTAGTTTTTGAAGGTTGGGTAGTCTAGCAATTCTTGACAATGAATCGGATCACAGAGCGAGACATTCAATCTTGGAAAACAAATCTTCTCTGCTGAACAATCTGGTATATACAAACACAGATTATACAATTGATTTTTTGCATATGTATATCAAAACAAATTATGCAACTGTTTTTTTTTTTGTATATGTATAGCGAAATTATATAACTGCTTTTTTTTATATATATATATGTATAGCGAAATATACATATTTATGTTTGTTATGGAGCGCAATTAGTCAGGGGCGGAGGCAGTGTATCCACCCCCTCGACGAAAAAATATTACTATTTATACATGGTTAAAATTATTTTTTAGGTATATATAATAGATGTTGAACCCCTTTCCACTAGTTTGTATGTTTACTTCTCATATTTTGAACCTCTCATTAAAATTTCTGACTCCACTACTGACTATAGCTATAGCATAGAAATATGAATTTTATGTTTGCTATATATGAAAGTTATTCTATAAAATGCACGACATAATTGTTGGGGAACTAACATGTTCATTAGAATTCAGAACAAAGCCCTGTCTCCATGCCCTACCCAATAACCCTAATTTAAACATACTTCATTATTAAACATTATGAAAAATTCTAATGACATCGATTAAAGTATCATTATTAATTCTCTAATTTATTCTTTCCTAAACCAAGCTGACTTCGTAAGACCCTACGAGCTAGAAGTGGGGAAGAATACCGACTCAATTGAAATATTGACCCGAGTAAAATGTTGGTGAGTTTTATTTTAGATTCAAACATGATGAGCAAATGGTTAAAAAAGACGGTAGGTTAGAAAGAAAAGTGTCGTAGCTTTGACTCAGTCTGTTCTTCGCACCTGGATCTGTCTCCGTCCCTTTTCTGATTGCCAATCATATTTCCTTTTGTTGTTATTATTCGAGAGTTGTGATGTAATCTTTCAGCATTGTGATCAAAATAGAATATAATACCTTAGTATTTGTGTGGAGAAATCCAGGTTGTTATCGCTTTAATTTATATGTTTTTTCAGAAAAAGATAAGTAAGAGAGTTTCTATATATAAAAATGACTTGCAACAATTTTTTTTCAATACAACAGTTATAGATGTATTAGCCTCTCATCAATAATCAAACAAACAAAACTCAAGAAAGCATGGAACTCTCTCTTAATTTTTGTATAAAACAATCATCCACTCACTCAGCCATACAAAAATAGTGGATGAAAAGGGAACAAAAAAACTCAAATTCTAAGAGGAAGAAAAAATAAACTTTCAAACTCATCATGTTTAATAAACTCTGTTGTTGAATAGCATACACAAAAATCCTCCTAAAAATTGACATAAAAATATTCAAACATTTGATAAAGTAGTGACCATGTTTTGTCCTCTCCCACATTTTGTAAACAAGAATCTCCCACTAGACAATGATCTCTTCATCATCATAGGACAATATTGTACTAATGAATTGTTTCTAATTCCACCCTTGCTCATTTCTTCACCATTATTTTCTTGTTTTGATGTTCCAACATCTCTTTGCAACTCGCAATCTTCTCCCGTTACACAATCATGAAACTCATCGTGATCAATTCTTAGTACATCAGCTATTGATAAACGACGTTGAGATATATAATCCATAGATAATGATCTCCTCCTACCTTCTTGATTCATATGGTTTACATCTTCTTCGTCTCGTGTTTCCTCTACTCTGATGCCCATTTCTATGTCACGTTCCGGTTGGATTGGTGGAGTTGTTTCAATCTCTCGCGGGGCTTCCATTACCGGAGGAGGTAATGGAAGAGGCGGAGCATTAGAAGAAGTAATCTGAGATCGACATAACGGGCAACTGGAGTGAGATTTAAGCCATGTATCAATGCACATTACATGAAAAGCATGGCTACATTTAGGCAAAAGCCTAAGACTCTCATCTTCTTGAAATTCACTTAAACAAACAGAACAATCAGTTCCTTCAGTCAATAATCCATCACATTTCTTGAACTTAAACACTCTAATAGACTTGATCAATGCTTCATCTAAACCACCACCAGCATTAACATTCCATGCCTCATGATTTGAAGGGTCATGATCCTCCTCTTCTAATTCTGATTCTTCTTGATGATGACTTCCCCTTCTTCTTGAATTTCCACAGTACTTTGATATTATAGTATAGTAGCTAACTAACAGGAAAGCACTAGCAAGAATTCCGATGATCGCGATAACCAGAGGAGAGAAATTAGGACTAGAATCATCATCATCATCAGGTAAGTCAAATTGGGGTGGTGGAGGGAAAATTATGTAACACCATTGTGGGCAGTAAAAACTGCAAAATCCTTGAGAACAATCCCTAGTGCTCATATATGGTACCAAAGTTCTTGGATTACTTACCGGAACCAATGTTTCGTCGTCCAAAATCCTCTTATTATACATGGGACTGCACAAAAATGAAAAAATTGTGTGGCCCAAAATGAGATCACTCTCCCATCTCAAACAACATGAACAAAACAGAGGGGAAAACAGGGGGAAACAGAGGAATGAGAAGAATTTACCTGTGGTTGTATCAGATAGAAAAAAGGGAACAGATGATAAGAAATAAAGGAAGAGGATACTTTAGTTTGTTTTTTCTTCTTCTTGTGTTTATTGTGGGTTATGTTTTACTTTTCCTTTGCTTTTTTCTTTGTTCTTCTCTTTTGTTTTCTTTAATTTGCTTTATTGGAGATAGTGGTATGTTGACTAACATGGTCATGTTGTTGGTTGCGCATTCATCAAAGTAATCAATGCTTTATGATGGGTTCAAGCCACTTGCTATTAAAGTTAATTAATAGTATAGATTACACGTAGCTCTGTGCCTTTTTTCTATAAAAGAAACTTAAATTTGACATCTCTCACTTTTAAAATATCTTCACTCATAAGTAAATCCAATAGAAACTTGTTAAACACTAGCCACTAAGTTGAATGTAAAAGATTTCAGTTTTACCTACTATTAGATCAAGGCCTCATTTGTTTTTATTATAATTAACATGAATCTAAATAAATATTTAAATAATTAAGTTGTATATAAATCTGGACATTGAAGGATTAAGACGGTTTGTTTTTCAAGGCTAAAATATGCATATTATTTCTGAACATAAAAATTATACAAATTAAATAAATATTTTTTAAAAATAATAAAATAAAATTAGTATTTCGTTAAAAATGATAATTATGTTCGTTTGTGAGAGTGAAGATGGTTTGTACTAATAGTGATGATAATGGTTATGTTGGTGTTACTAACTAGTATTACTGGTGTTAATAATATGTTAGTGGCTAGTAATGTTGGTGGTAATAGTTTTTGTTAGTGGCTAGAAATGGTTGTAGTTGGTGTTGTAGTAACTATGTGATGATGAAGGTTGATAGTGATAGTAGTTGTGATGGTAAACTTGGTCAATGTTAGTAATTGGAGATGTAGATGATTGTGGTTAAAGAATTTGTGTTGGTTGACGTTGTGTTGGTGGTAATAGTGAAGAAGCTAGTTGCGATGGTTGAGTTGGTTGGCAGAAGGGATTGACCGCAGTGCTAGTAGTGGATGATAGTGGTAGGTGATTGTAAATGATGATTGTGATGACAGAAATGGTTTGTTAGTTGACAATGATAATAGTGATTGACAATGATGATTGTGATTGTGATAGAAGAGATAGTTAATAGAGCTGGCTGGTGTTTGAAAAAGCTAATTATCACTATGATTCGACAAAACTCAATAACTATCTATGCAAAGTTAGTCTTATAATTGGTAAATGGGAATCTGCTTAAAGCCACTAGATAAGGAAGTATATATTCTTACTTTGGTTCTTGACACAGTATTTCTATTCAAGATGTTGAATTTAATGCTACTTTATTAGTGTATTCTGTGCCTCGTTTTAAAGTGTATATTTTATTGTTTTCTTTCTTTGGGTGGGGAAAAAGAGAGGACGAATGGACCATACACGGTGTGCCAGAAACTGAGAGAAGTTAAAAAAAATTGTAATGGAATTTTAGTTCTACAAGTCAATCATGTTGGTGAAAGAATCAACAACAGTCAATAATTGGCTTTTTCAAAAATGTAAAAAACCAAAAAATTCCTTCTTCTCGGTCCATATAATGACGGAGTCGAAAATTTTTATTAAGAAATTTAAAATATAAAAAAATAAATACGTAAAAAAAAAAAGGAAGATTTGATATTTACTATTATCAGTGGCGTGACCACATATAGCCTTCATCAAAAATTATATTATGTAAGTAGAAAATTATACAAAATAATAAGTCAAAATTATTTTTCATACATTTATATATATATATATATATTTATTTTTGGATTCCCTTAACAAAATTTTCTGATTCTACCACTATTAACTATAATATATTATTCATTATGTATAAACAATGTAACTTTTCACCAAAGAGAGTTCGAATGCATCCGTAGACTCTTACTAGCTCCGCTCTTATCTCCACCCCTACACCTAGTCTTTTTCATCCACTTGACTTGGTATTTGCCTCCAAGAAATTAGATAAGAAAATTATTTATTTCTTATGTTCAAAAAATAAAAGATAAAATAATATTTAAACGAAGTATGAATAAGATAAAATCATAGATTATAATATAATATGTAAACTGCGTCTCTTGGGCTAAAGGGGTTGGTTTGAGAGGTGGAGGTGGCCGGCGAAGAGTGGGTGTATTGTTGAGGATAAGAAGTAGATGATCCGATAAAATAACACTAGTAAAACTTGTTTTTTTCTAATATCATCAAGTTATTCTCTTTTTTTTTTAGGAATTTATATGAAACATACGAAAATCAAAAAATATATTTTCTTGAAAAAAAGTTCCCCTCCCTACCAAACACACCCTCCTATAAGTTATCTTCGTGGTGTCATTTCCAAAGATATGCTAGGACTAGAGGGTCAAAAATATGTGATCTTTTTGTACTCATTTTCCTTTAGCTTTTACTTTTCGGAGTACCTTATTACTTACTGATAGAAAATGCTAACAAAGTCACCACTACTGAGAGAATTCTAGTGTTCCACAACAGAGTCAATTTTCCACTGAATATCAAGCAACCAATTGAGTGCTTATTTATTCTTTTCTTGCATGCCTGTTACATGTTGCATTTTTAATATTCCCTTTGTTCTTAATTCCTTCTTCTTCTTTTTCAGGTTTATTACCACAAAAAATCATTTTATTTATTATATTCTCAATTAATTACTTTCGAAAAAAGAAAACTTTTTGAAAATCTAAATTATTTATTCATTTATTTCATAATTAATAAAAATATTTATTATTTTAATTATTATTTTCTTAATATATACATCAATTTAACCTAGGTCTGGATTATGAGGAACACATGTGGGCCTTTTTACGCTAGTCTTGTTTTTTTTTTTTGGTAGGTGTAGGATTGTCTAATATTTACTTTTTCCATGTCTATATAATAAGAGATACACTATTCAATTGTTATCGTAAATTAATTTAATTTTTCTTAAAAAAGAAATCACTAGCATTAAATCTTGAATATCCATGTATAATTAGCGAAAAAGCATGATTAGAATGGGAATCGTGTATTGTCTTCAGATTTTCTTTATGGTCGATATTTTTCGTTGATCTTACATGAGTTTAATCGAATATCGGTGTGTTTCTAATTATTGTTATTTTTGTCGAAATACTTTTGGACTATTCTAAAATTTCGTGAAGTGTCCAGGCAAAATTAGTTTAGGGTCTCCTACAATTTGGTTTTTATGAATGAAGAGGTTGATTAGATGGAAACACTGGTTTTTGACTTGGCATTTTCCAACATTCACTTGTCTACTAGTACTACTACTCTATAGTCTATTAGCTCCATAATATGATGACTATTATTCTTAGTTTTTTAATTATATATATCTATATATATTTTTTACTTGGTGTTTCGAGTCAGATTTGAGCTCTAACTAAATTAGGATCGCACAACGCAATTTCTATTGGTGGATTGCATTTTTAATAGGATTCTTCTCTTTATTCAAAGACTCGAATAGAGACTTCTTATTAATAATAAAACAATTTTACCACCGCACTATAAATTAGTTATGATTCTCAGTCTTGTCACTTCTCTTGGGCTTATCTCCAATCATGGGCCCTTCTCTATTTAGACACTCCTATTTGTTTTGGATTGGTTTTCTTGGGCTTAATCCAAATGAATAGGCCTCAACTACGACACCAACCAACCACTTTGTTTTTCAACCTGGCAAATATAGCACACTACCAAAACTATAGGTTATTATTAGTATTTCTTTTGATCATTCAATATTCTATACTCATTTCAGAGCTCGATTACGTATCTAATTCACACCATATGAAGATGAAGGTGGAGAATTCCCCTTTAGGAATGTTGTCACTCACAAGATTTGAACCGTGAAAACTCTAATAAAAATGAAAAAAAATATGTTCATCCCAATATAACTCCCGATGTCTTCTACCTATAGGGTATTAATTTACTATATTAAACCTCCCTATAGAGGATAGTTTATAGAGCATAGAATCTAACATCCCATAGGCAAGTGGACTCCAATGTAATGAGTGGTCCATCATATTGGAGAAAAAGGGACGTGACAATCTTTTTCTACGTGTTAGAAGTACAACTAGACACTTTGAACCGACATATCAAAACATTAAATTTTTACTTTTAGCTAGAATATGACTTGCAAAATTGGTTTCTAGCTAGTACAATGTTTGCTTATTTTTTTATTAGAAAATAGAAATTGATGCAATTCAACTTCATTTTACAGACTTACTATCCTTTTTGACCGGATAGGCATAAATAGTTTTAGGATAAAAATTTAGTATACATTAACGACCCTATTCTCATTGTTTAGTTACTACTTATGAATAAATTTTGTAATTTATATCAAAATAAGTTATTTTATGAGTGATAATGGTAATGAATATCGTTATTATGGGATAAACAAAGAAAATGACCGAGACACACTTAAGGTCCCTCAAATTATTTTTTGATGACTAAATAAGATGGATGATATTTTTGTAAACAAACAATTTTCTTTTTAAAAATTATCCAATATTGTTTATTTTATTTATAATACAACAAATCAAAATAATTAATAAAAAATAATATTATAATAGCTAATTTCATATATCAACATAATTAATGTCTATCCAACCAAATGGAACCAAATAAACCCTTAATTCCTTATTTTCTTTTCAGTATAAAAAAGGTAGAAGAAAAAAAGGGAAAACATCCGATTTGTTTAAATTTCTCCTCAAATAATGATCGATAGTTATTTTGAGATCATACTAATCTAAATTTACGTTCAAATATTTTGCTTTTAAGGTAAAGTGTTCCTTTTTAAGTATCTAACGACTAGATATGGACCCAAATTGATTTTAGTGTTAAGCTTACCAAAAATAAAAAATAAAGCAAAAATAAATAAAGTTCCATAAGCATTTTGCAAAGCACAATTTTGAAAATGCCTTTTTGCCAAATCTACTCACGTAAGTTGAGAGATTAGAGTTTCAATTAGTTAAGTGATAACACGTTCACCCTAAAATCAATAATATACACGGTTGCAATTCAACTAAAAATCCTCCACATTCATCCTTTCTTATCTTCCACAATTCACACAGTACATTTTAACTGAAGATAATTATATATATTAATAAAGAGTGTTAAAGCTATTAACGCTATAATTTATTGTATTTGAATCTAATATTGCTATAAGTTTTAGAGACATTTATCATGAGTGTAGCTAAAAGTAAATATTTAACGACAATTAAGTTATTATCATTCATTAATTATTTTTAAAGATATTTTCGATACAATGTAAAA